ATTAAAAATAGCAATTATTATTGCATGCCCTCCAATAGGTCAAAACCAAGCTAAGTATAATTCTTATAAAAATTTTGTGGGATATTATTATAGCCATTTTGTAAAGATGGAGCGGGTAGTAACTTATCTATGACCTCATGACAACTAATAAAGCTCTTAACACCAATGCTACATTGCCAGGGAGCAGGGATCAAATTTGTACTTGCCAGGCAGGCAGGGTGCCACTGAGCTAAATCCCCTGCCCTACAGAGGTATTTAAAGATAACTCTAGCCAGCCAGGGGTGGGCATCCTGGCCACGCGGGCGGGCGTGGGGGCGAGGCCGGGTCCCCGCCGTCGCGATGAATGTACTGACAGCCGAGGCAGCGGCCCCCACGCCCATTAACCCTCGCCCCCATTCCGCGCAATAAACGACAGCACTGGCGCCCGCGCTGCCTCTCCTTGCTCAGCAGGGGCCCGTACATCCCCAGCACAGAGCGGCTCCGTGGGTGGCGACAGACTTTATTTACACTGTGCATAGGGCTCCCGGGGACAGCAGGCAGGGCCTGCGTCAGCTGAAGAAGTAGGTGGAGGTCTTTACCTTCTCCAGGTCAAAGTCCCCTGTGGAGACAGAGGTTAGGTGAGCAGGCGGCGCAGGGCAAGCGGGAGGCCGCGCCTGCCCAGGGACCTCTCCTCCCACCTGTACCTTTCCGCGGCACTGCCAGCAGCATCTCCAGCAGCTTGGAGTTCAGCCTTCCTTTTGTCCCCGGCTGGGCACTGAAGGAGAGCAGGGGATTAGGGGAGGGAATGAGGCGAGGTGGGGAAGGTCCAGGCACAGGCGGCTCCTCACCTGTCTGCCGAGCAGAATCGCCTCACCAGGAAGGCGGACAGGTCCTCCAGAATGGGCTGGCTGTGCAGCCTGATGAACTGCTCACGGCACACCTGTGAAGCACGCAGGAGCTCCGGTGAGGCAGGGCCTGGGCGGGAGGGCGCGGACACAGGGTGGAGAAAGGCGCACCTGATTCATGACCGAGACGTCACACGCGTGTGTCCAGAAGCAGTCGTGGACAGAGACGAACGTCAAGCCCTTCCTGCAGCAGGGAGAGGCACCCATGAACGGGAGTGCCGGGCCCCTTCCCTCCCCTCCCCTCCCCTACTAGGAGGAAAGGGTCAGGGTTGGGTTGGGTTGGGGAGCAGATTGTTCTGGCAGGAGAGATGGGGGTACAATCTCTACCCAAGGCAGCATCCCAGGCCAGAACCATGCAGATGGCACACAGCCCTGTGGACATTTGCGGCAGGACTGTCCATACCGCCTCCTAGCCCCATGGTGACCACAGGGCACAAAGCCTGAATCACTTCCCTCTCCCCATGGCCACCCGGGCCTTGTGGTGGAGACCTCAGATGTCTCCTTCCCCTTCACAGCAACACCTCCCCACCTTAGCATGAACATCTCGCTACCCCTGGGCCTTAGCACACACAGCCACTCCCCACAGACTTCCAAGTACAAAGCCCACCCTGGCCTAACCCTGTGGACGGGGTCCGTATGCTGGCCTTGACCTGCAGGCAGCGGGGGCCTGGTGTGCCTGGATGGCACAAGGACGGCAGCACGCACCTGTAGCAGTGCAGGGCTGTGAGCATCATGTGGCAGGAGTCCAGTGAGTGAATGAAATTGGGCGGGAAGCCGTTCTTCTGCTTCACCACCTTGGGCTTCCTGGGGAAGTGTCCAGCCAGGTCAGGGGGCTGAGTAGGGCTGGACCCGGAGCTCCTCCCCAGGATGCAACCCAGGCCCCAGGGTCCCTGCTCACTGGTTGACATCCGCAGAAGTGTTCCAGGTGATGCTCTGGAGGCCACCTCTGATCTGCAAGTGGAAGGGGCAGTGGGACCACGAGCCTTGTACAAGGCCCAGCCGGGGGACAGCAGCAAAAGCAGGGTGCAGAGGTTCACGTACCACCAGCTTGGACTCCTTGTGGTAGGGCTGGATAATGGGGATGCCGAGGGGCGTGACCCACTCCACGGCCGAGCCGGCCTGGGAGATCAGGCGGGCGCTCTCAGTCAGCCAGTGCTGTGGGACATTGGCGCCTGCTCAGTCTGTCCCCGTGGGGCCAGGGCTGAGCCGGGCAGCGCAGACAGACGCAGACACACACCTGGATGGTCCGGGTGCTTGAGAACATCTCCCGGAGGCTCCTGAAGACCAGGTGCACCAAGTAACGGGAGGCTTCCCACACGAAGACCTGCGGACAGGGTGGAATCCACACCTGCACCTCCCACGCCCAGCCCAGAGCAGTAGCCAGGGGACCCCCTTCCCCAGCCAGTCCCAAAGCAGGGGCCCAGGAGACCCCCCAACTTCTGGAGTGTAAGCCCACAGGACACTCCACCCCCAGGGTGGGGCACTCTGGCCCCTTTCAGATGGGGAGACAAAGCCTGGGATGGGGTGGGGGACAGAGCGGGTTGGGCTGGGCCTCGCACCTGTGGGAAGTTCTCGAGCTCACGGAGGCGCTTCTCAATCTGCAGGCGCCCGCCGTACAGGGTGACCCCGTAGACCACGGTCATGACTGTCTGCTTCACCACCTTGCGGCTGATAAAGCCCTCCAGCACCTGGGCCACCTTGAGGCCCTGCTTCGCGTCCCGAGTGCGGAACACCTCCACCTACCACGGTGACAGCCGCAGGTGGTCAGAGCTGTCCAGGAGGGGTCCCTGCCTCCTGTCTCACTCAGACCCAGCATCTGCATCGACGCAGAGATGGGCTGAGGCTGTGGGGCCTCCGTGGGGTCAGGACCCACCTGTGCAGCCACCCCGCTGTACACATCCTGTGGCGTATCTGAGGTTGCCAAGTTGACAGAGGAGGCGCCCACACTGTCTCGGCCCAAGGCGGCGTAATGCTGCAGGCCATTGCAGGAGCCGTCCTGTGTGGGGGCGGCCGTGAGCCCAACCACCACCCATCACCTGCGTTTGTCCCCCACCACGCAGGGGACTGGAGGACACATGCAAGCATGGGTGACCCCAGAGCCAGACGCCCCCAGACCCAGGATACAACTGGGGAACCCACAGTGGGGCCACCCAGTGCCCACCTGGTGAATGGGCAGGTGGGAGACAAAGGCAGCAGGGTCTGGGGACCGCACAGCCCGGGCCACCTCCATGCAACAGGCCAGTGTCTGCCAGGGGTCCTCAGCATCCATCCACCACTTCCGGCCCTGCAGGGGAGGCAGGTGAGGGCAGGACCAAGTTTAGGGCCAGCTCAGGGGACATGGGCAGAGGAAAAGGACAGAAATAAAGGACCGGGCTGATGGGCGCCCCTAGGTGTGAAGCAGGACAACAGGAAGAGTAGAGAGACGGCTGGAGTCAGAGTGCACGGAGGGCCTCGAGGGACAGAGGAGGAGACGGGAGTGGGAACCCAGCGCACCGTCATGGGCTGGTCAGCTGAGTCCAGGATGTCATCCATCATGGTGTTGGCAAAGGCCAGGCGGGCGCGAAGTGGCTCACTCTTCTTGAACCCAGTGAGGTTGATCAGGTGGATCTTGAGCCAGTCAAGGCCATGGGGGCCAAGTGGGCGGCCCTGGGCGAACTCCAGCAGGGCGCGAGCCAGGTCGCTGCCCAGGTGATTGAAGTGGGGTGGGCAGGGGTAAGTGCGGCCACGGAAGTCCATGTTGTGCGGCAGCCAGAAGACCTGGTGCCGCAGGTGCTGGGCCAGCGACAGGCGATACAAGGCCTCTCTCCAAAGGCTATGCATCTCTCGGGCAATCTTCAGGCAGCGGGTCACCTCCGCCCGCAACTCAGCTTTGCGATGCGGTGAGGCATCGGGCGGCAAGTTGTCCAATGGCGGGCGCGGTGCCTCAGAGGCAGGGGGCGGGACGCCCAGGTGGGCAGAGCCCTTGTCACGGAAGATGTCCAGCACCAGGTCCAGCACGCGCCCATTGACGCGCCAGGCGCAGTTGCCCAGCTGCGTGAGGGCATCCAGGGCACCATGCAGCTCTGTGGGCGGGCAGCTCTCCAGCAGGTTCTGGTGCTGCAGGGAGCCATCCACAGAGCGCATTAGCTTGGTGGGGCTCAGCAGGAAGCCTCCAGACTGTGAGGAGGACCAGGGCACTGGGGGGCACAGCATGGGCATGTCAGTCGCCTCGAAGATCAGTGAGGGCTCTGCGGCATCCTCCAGCAGCTGAATGAAGGCCGGGTGTGGCCTCAGGAAACCAATCTGGGCAGGTGAGATAGGCAGGTGATCACAGGTGCCAGCTGAGAATGAGGGACGGAAGAGCAGCACCTGGGGACCCCAAGGGATTCCCCAGTCACGGGGACCTCAAGCCCTGCAGCCCCAGGGTTGGGGAGGGCCCTGGCCCCACGCACCTGGCGTATACCGCGGAAGGTGTACACGTGGTACAGCATGGGGACCGGCTGGGAGGAGTTCTGAGACAGGGACAGGCTGGGCGGCAGCTGTACTGACTGTACCAGGATCTCCAGGAGCAGCTTGCCCAGGGACAGGATATCCATCATGGGCCAGAGCTGCGGTGGCGCAGGCTCGGGTGGCCCCAGCATCTCCCAGTGCTGCCGTGGCAGGCAAGGCTCAGCCATCTGCGGGGAGGGCAGGTCAGGCCACTGGCCTAGGCACCCAGTTCACACCTGGGGAAACTGAGGCTCGGGGCTTCCGTGCCTGCTCTGACGAGGGGGTGGGAGGAGAGAAGAGGGAGGGCAGGCCACACCTGGGTGTCAGAGGCGAGCAGCTGCAGGTACTGCGTGTACCGCTGCTCCAGCTCCTGCAGCTGGCCTCGGCACCGCCTCTGCTGCAAGATGTGCCGCTCGAAGGTCTTCATGGCCAGCCGCTGCACCAGGTACACGAATGGCTCGCCCTGGGCAGGCAGTATGTTCAGGAACTGGGGGCAGAGATGCAGCATCAGCAGCCGCCAGCCGCCAGGCCCTGTCCCCACCCCCAGGAACAGGGTGCCACCTGTAGGAGCATCTGCACTAGCTCATCCTCGGGGAGCACACACAGGAAGGGGTAGAGCGTCGGCCGCCCCTGTTCTGTGAGCTGGGCCAGTCTGGCCTTGGCCTCCTGCAGCTGGCGGTGCAGCTCAGCCTCCCAAGTCCTGCGCAGGGTGTCCAGGGTCTTCCGCTGCAGGAGATGGGGCATGGGCTGGTCACCCAAGTGCACAGGCCCATGGGGACAGTGTCTCGTTTGGACCTCAAGGGACCCGGTGTGCAGGTCCACTCTTACCGCCTCAAGGGTCTTCTGGGTCGGTGATAAGACCTTTTCCACAGACTCAACATGCACGACGCTGGCCAGCTCCAAACTCAGCTGCTGCCGGAACATGGCCTTCAGTGTCTCCAGGGGGAGGTGCAGCCTCGGGTAGGACACAGGGCCATCCTGTGTGGGCCCAGCGGGAGGTGAGCCCAAGGAGGCACCCAGCCTGCCTCCTACCAGGAACTCTGGTCTGCTGCCTATGGGATTAGTCAGGGAACGTCGTTCTTTGTGTCCCTGGATGCTACCTGTTTCCTTTGCAGACCTGGCGTGGTATGGGTATGTAACTTTCCAAAAGCAGACAAGTTAAAAATAGCGACAAGGGTCAGGGATTTCGCTCAGTGTTTCTACCACCTGCCTCAGAAGTGCAAGGACCCGAGTTCAATCCCCAGTAAGAAAAAATTTTTAAGACGTGGGGGGACAAGAGCTGGGCATGGTGACAATGATCTTAGCGCTCGGGAGGCTGAGACAGGATGGCTGTGAGTTCGAGAACAGCCTGGGCTACCAAGTGAGTTTAAGCCCAACCTGGACTGTGTATTGAGATTCTGTCTCAAGGAAAAAAAAAAAAAAAAAAAAAAAAAAAAAAAAAAAAAAAAAAAAAGACAAAAAGCCAGACATGGCCTGTAGTCCTAGCACTCAGGAGAGTTTGAGGCTATCTTGGGTTACATAATGAGTTCGAGGGTAACCTGAACCACTTATGTCCACAGAGTGTGTGTACAGAGAAGTCCACAGCCAGACACAAAATTAAGCCAGGTCCATCCACAGACGGGAATCTTACTCAGCCAGGAGAGGAGTGAGGCTGATACTTACCACAGCATGGAATGGACCTTGTTCAGTGAGAGATGCCAGACACAGGACACACAGCATGGGGCAATTTGGACAGGAAATGCCTGGGACAGGGGATTCCTCCAGAGACAGGAAATGAAATTGTGGGCACCAGGCCCAGGGAGGGGATGGGAGCTTCCTCTGGGGTGAGGGAATATTTTGGACCTAGGCAGAAGTAATAGCTGCAGGACTAGGGGTGCACTCCAAAACTCCCTGAGCTAGTAATACTCTGGAAAGCATGAAGGTTGGTGAAAGCCACCTCAGAGACAGACAAACCCTGGAGCCATGTACCTGGGGGCCCCTGGTGTCCCCCCTCAGGTTCAGAAGGTCACACCCTACCCTCCCAACCCCCACAAGGCTGAGGCCAGCTCTGGCTCCTTAAACATGCATGAAGCAAGGAAGGAGGAAATCAGAGCTGGTGGTGGTCAGTGCACTCGGGAGGACAAGGTGACCTGTGTGTGCTACACCAGGGCTGCTGCTGTGCTGGGCACTGCCTCTGCCTGGCTCACCTTGGCGTAGACCTCACGGAGCAGTGTCGAGGTGTTGACCTGTGGTGAGGGCTGTGGTGGGCAGAAGTCAGGCTTGGCCTTGAGCACGGCCCGCAACATCGCGGCCTTCTCCTCACTGGACAGGGTCACCTCCAAGAACAGCTGCTCCAGCTGCAGACCATCCTGGGCCATCTGCTCCAGACACCTTTGGGTGAGAGGGGGCACACATGGGATGGGACACCAGAAGTCCACATGCAGAGCCCACCCCAGGGGACCTTGCAGCCACCCCCGTGCCTCACCCTGCAGCCCTCAATAAGCCCACTGTGCCCAAGGGTTGACAACAGGTACCCACCTACCTTTGGATGACGACGACATCCCGATCCACCCGCCCTAGGCACTGCAGGATGGAGGCGTAGGAAAGCAGGTCTGGGGTGAAGCCACCAGCTTTCATGATGCTCAGCACAGACAGCAGTTCCCTGTAGGAGCCCTGGGAACAGCACATAAGGGTGAGGTTCCCTGGGATGGTCCAGGTTCTCTCACTCTGTTCCCTGCAACCAGTGACTTAGGGTGGAGGACTGGGCCAGCCAGGTGGACAAATGCCTCCACTTGACATTGCTTGGAGGCGTGTGTCCCTCAGGGGGCAGCAAGGACTGGTTAAATTATTTTTTGAGCCAGGTGCACGCCTACATTCCTAGCACTATGGAGGCAGAACACTAAGTTCAAGGCAAGCCTGGGCTATAGAGTGAGTTCAAGGCCAGCCTGAACTACATAGCAAGGCCCTGTCTTTAAAAAAAAGAAAGACTGCCACCTGCCTCACAAGAGCAAGGACCCCTGGAACCAAAAACCAAACAAGCAAACAAAAAAAACAAAAAGAAACTTGGACAGAAGCTAGAAAAAAACCCAATACCATGGAAGCAGAATCTTTCATTTTTGATCATTTTCAAAACTTCCATGTTACTTACATTTGGAAAGCCTAATTAATGTAATGAACAAAGGACTCGTGATGAGGCTCTCCTGTCATCCCGGCTACATGGGAGACAGAGGCAGGAAAAGCCCACGTTTGAGCTTAGTCAGGAAAACTTTGTGGCTTAATGGGATTCTGTCTTTAAAAAAAAAATCAAGGGCCAGTACTACAAAAAGAAAGAAGGGCAGGGATGTAGCTCAGTGGCACGGCACCTGCCTGGAAAGTGTGAGGCCCTCAGTTCAATTCCCAGTGCACCCCACTCCCGCCAAAACAAACAGAAAACCTCAAAGGACTTGAACTTCGGGGTCATAAGCCAAGGGTTGGAAGCCAAGGGCAGGTGTCATCCTTTCCGTCCTCTCCAGAGAGTCCCTCACCTTGCGAGCCCAACCAAGCATGACAGTGTTGCACATGGCTTGAGTGATCAACCCCTGCTTGGTCGGTGAGGAGTACTGCTTGGTCAACACACGGGAGGCGAGAGCCATATGCTCAGTGGCCAGGCAGCAGTCGAGGAAGGCCTCAAGCCTCCGCTGCCTTGTCTGCTGCTCCAGGCTCAGTTTCAGTGAGTGCTGCATCTCGCTGCGGTTCAGATTCAGGGGAGCCTCACACGGCTGGGCGGGACCCCAGTCCACAGGCTCCTCTGCTGGTTCCTCCGTTCTGTCATTCCTGTTGGCAGGCTGCTTGCTCACCAGCTGGGACTCAGAGAGTGGCAGTTTGGCCGTGGCTGCAGACCTGGCCTTCGGTGCAGCCATGGACATGGCTGAGGGCTTGGTGGGGGATTTGGCCTTGGCCTTGGCCTTGAGCTTGAACTCGGGGGCCAGAAACCGACCCTTTGCCTGCAGCTTCTCCCGTACTAACTTTTGCCTCTTCTGCAGCATCTGCTGGTCCTGGTCCAGCTTCCTTGCCCAGCTCCCACCGATCCTTAGCTCGGCCTTCGCAGGTGGCGGAGTGCCACCAGCCCTGCCACTGTCGGCAGGGATTCGAGTGACCTCCACCCTCTTCACCGTCACTTCAGACACGCTCTCAGCCTGCAGCTGCCGCACCCGGGCCTCCAGCACTGAGGAGAGGGGAAGGGGACTCATTCAGGGCCAGAACACACGCCGAGGATGCAGAAGGCACCTAGGTCATGCATGTCTTCCAGGTGCACCCCTGACTTCATGCTTACCCCCACCTTCTTCAGGCCTCTCCAATCAGTGCCCAGACCAGCTCTAAAGTCCTCCAAGCCAGCTCCTTCACATCTCCCCATCACTGGTCCCTCTCTCTCCATGTGCCCAGGCTAAGCCCCGGCCTCTCCCACAATGCCAGGCTTCGCTCTGTGCCTCTTGGTCTTACCCTCACTTGCTCTGCCCATTTCACTCTTGCTATCTCAGGGCTTTTGCATGTGCTTTACCTCCCCTGAACACTCAGCTGACCCTGAGCTGCCTATTCCTAGTCTAGACTGCTGCCTGCTGATCACGGTCCTGCCTGTTTCCACCTCACATTGCTTCTCTGCATCCTCGCTGGGCTGTTCTACACCACCAGAGACTGCCACATAGGCCAGTGCTGAGCACTGCTCCTGTGTTTTCTAGTCACTTTTTGTTGTCGTTTTCTTTTCCATTACTGGGAATTCAACTCAGGGCCTTGTGCTTGCCAGGTAGGCACAGTGCTACTGAGCTAAATGCCTGGCCCTCTTGTTAAAGACTGAATGACAGTACTTCACATGGGAACTATTCAAAACAACCAGTCATTGGGTGTGATGGCACACACCTGTAATTCCAGCACTTGGGAGACTGAAGCAGGAAAATCTCCAAGAGTTTGAGGCCAGCGTGGGCTACAGAGTGGGTTCAAGGCCAGGATGAATTACATAGTGAGACCCTGTCTCAAACACCAACACAAGGGCTGGGCGTGGTGGTGAATGCCTATAATCCCAGCACTAAGGAGGCTGAGGCAGGAGGATCGCTGTGAGTTTGAGACTAGCCTGGGCTACATAATGAGTTCCAGGTCAGTCTCAACTACATAGTGAGACCCTGTTGCAAAAAAACAAAAACAAAAACAAAAAACCATCAAAACAAAACAAACCAGCAAGATCACCATCAAAAATGCAAGAAACTTGGCACTAAACATGTCACGTAAGCCTGGTATGGTGGCACATACCTATTGTCCCAGCATTCAAGAGGCTGAGGCAGGAGGATTTTGAGGCTACCCTGGGCTACCCAGTGAATTCGAGGCCAATCTAAACTACCTAACAAGATCCGGTCTCAAAAAAACAAAAAAGAGGGCTGGGGATTTAGCTCAGTGGTGCTGAGTTCAATCCCTAGTACCAAAAGGAAAAAAACAAAAAACAGAACATGGTTTAACGACCTTTGTTTATAGTGTAAGTTAAAGGGCGGCATATAAGCACTTACGGGGCCTGGGAGTAGCATGGTAGCTCAGTCAAGCTGCTCCTCTGTGCACGTCTGTGAGGAGTGGTATCCACACTAGACATTAGTTTGGGTGAGCAGGTGGATGAGCTAATACAAAATCCTGAAACAGTAAGACCCAGCTGTATTTACTTGCTCTCTGCCTCCTCCACCAGGACCCCAGCCCATCTGCCCTGTACTCAGCCATGCAGGTAGCTGATGGCCGGAACTGAAAAGGGCTCACAACAGATTTGTTGGAATGAAACGAAAAGGTAAGAGTGATTGGGGCCCTCAGATTACTCCAAATCTCAGGTGACATCTTTAGAAAAAAAACAGAGGGAAGGTGTGTGGAGAAGGAAAGGAGACAGATGTGGTACCGGCTTTCTCCAGGGGAGGCAGCAACTGAGCTGAGGCCTGGGAGATGAGAGGAACCAGCTTTGCAGGGAGCAGGGAAGAAGCAGGGGCAGAGGCCCTGGGGCAGGCGCGGTTCATCCTTCCCTTAGCAGAGAGGTCAGTGTTAGCTACAGGAGAAGGTGGGTCCATGACCAAGAGAGTGTACAGATGTCGCTCCGCTCACGCAAAGACAAGACTGCAGAGCATAAGACGTGATTTAAATTTTTGGAACCTCCCTCTGGTTAGATGATGATTCTGGGGCTTGCTATAAAACAAGTACATGGATAAGAAAGGGAAGACTACTGATGAAGACAGAAGGTGACTACACTTGTCTTTGCTCTCCTATGCAAGACTTTTCTGTAATAGCAAGATCTTTCTATAGCTTCCCCCCTCCACTTCCTGGCTGCCTGCCTGCTAGCAGGGCAGGAAGGGAAACCAAGATGCTTGACACTGGCCTGGAGGTGGGGGCGTTGTCCAGGAAACACAAAGACACCACACCTTCCTCTGACCATAGGCCCTGGGCCATCCTGTCAGCTAGATTTTGTCACCTAACCCTGAGAGAAGAGATGGGCAGTTGAAAGTTCAAATGCACATGTAGCTACACATGACCCTGGGTACCTCTCTATGCTTAATTCAGAGTCTCAACTGTCTCTTTAGAATACAGAGGCCCAGTGGGGCTCTGCGGTGGGAGGATCACAAAAGCTCAGAGCCAGCTCAGCACACAAGGCCCAGGACACGTGTGGGATGTCTTGATCAGTATGCCACCTTCCTAGCTGGCCCTGGGGACCACACCCTGAGCCTCAGGATTTTCTTTGCATATCAAGCCTGGGGTCCGGGATTTAGCTCAGGAGTTCCACTGCCTGCCTAGCAAGCACAAGGCCCCTAGTTCGATCCCTAGTTCGATCCCTGGTACCAAAAAAAAAAAAAAAGAAGAAGAAGAAGAAGCCCGTCCCCTTCTTGTGGGGTCACCCAGGGAGTGAACTCTGCAGAGGATGGAGCTTCAGCCTCCACTTACCCTCCAGCAGTTCCACATGGCCCCAGTCCTTCCGGCGTTCTTGCTCACAGGGGCTGGCAGACGAGTTCCTTCTGGAACCCCAGAGGCCAACGAGGATCCCTGGGGAGAGACAAGGGCGGCTGAAATGGGCCTAGGGGTCCTCACGGACAAGCTGCAGTGTCAAAGAGCAAAGGGACCCTAGAGTCAGTGGTAACTATCAAATGTCAGGGGGCTTTTTGCCCAAGACTCAAAGGTCAACGTTCCCGGTGGATCCCCCTCAGGAGGCGGGGCCCTGCAGGGCAAAGGGCAAAGGTTGGGAGATCCCGGGCGCGCGGAAAGCCGAAGGTCACGGCCGCGCGGCAAGAGAAGCAGAGGCAGCAGAGTAGCCCCACGCCGTTGGGCCTCGGGCACTTTACCTTCTTTGGCCGTGGTGCAGGGGTGGCCCGAGGACCGCAGCGCCCTGCTGAGCTCCGCCGCACTCCGGCCCCAGCGCAGCGTAGCCATGCTGCGGCCCGGGCGCCTAAACTGCGCAGGCGCGCACACCGCTTGCCGGGAGTTGCGGTTCTGTGGCCGACGGAAGCTGCGAAGGGTCAATTGGGCCGGAAGTGAGCCGCCAGAACTACAACTCCTAGAGGCAGTGGGGCCAGAGGCCTCAAGGCAGGGCTGGAGATGCCTTCTGATTGGTTGTTCCCTGTGCAGGAGGAAAGGGCTGAACCACCATTGCCTTGGCAGTTTGGTTTTATCTAAGGCTGTCTTTGGAAGGACCATGATCTGGTTTTTTGTTTTTGTTTTTCAAAGTTTACTCATCTAGTCATATTGTATGCTTATAATCCCATCATTCAGGAGGCTGAGGCAGGAGGATCACCATGAGTCCAAGGCTACCCTCAGGTACTTAGTGAGCTCAAGGCCAGCCTAGATTACATAGGGAGACTTTGTCTCAAACAAACACACACAAACAAACAAAGCCAATGAAGTACACTCATCTAATAATTAGGACAGCATTCTGCAATGAGATTCCTGTCCACATCCTTCACTGATCCAACAAGATGAGTGGGGGACTATTGGTAGGTATTCTCGCTTTATTGTGGAGAAAGTTGAGGTTCAGAGAGGTCAGTAGAGTGACGCAAAGATGCACAGCATGGACATTGGGGAGATTAAAGGGAAAGTGCTGGTCTGTCCGAAAAGCTGAGAGATAGCAGGGGGTCTTGTGTTTCCTGAGTGTTTTCTTTATCCGCTCCCTCAGGCCTCAGTTTATCCAGTAATCCCCAAGCATCCAAGGACAGGGCAGAATGAAACAGGACACATGGATTAAACGGACATCTGATAAAAGGAATGAAAGGATTCCTGGAGCCCAGATCCATCTCCAGCCTCCAGGAGACTGCTCAGGGGAAGCCAGGGCCTGAAAGGCCTGACCACCTCGTGTATGGTTAGGAAAACTGAGGCCCACAAGAGGGAACTCTGGTATGTGAAGGATCCAGCTGAGGTACAGTTTGGGTGACTACAGCGTTATCAAGTGCAAAAGGCCTGAGGTAAGGGCCTGTGGAGAGCTGGAGGAGCTGAGCCACGTTGGGTGGGAGAAAAAGCAAAGATGAGATGTCACCAAGGGAGGACACGCTGGCCTTCCTCTGCCCAAGTTGCCACTGCTCCCAGTGCCTGAATTTGTTTCCCTGCCAGCCCAGGGAGGGTGGCGCCTATGAACAACACATTCCAGGCAGAGCTGCCCACGCCACTGGTGCCCACGATGATGCTACCAGCCAGGAATGTATCCAGCAGACAGTAGCAGCCGCCCTCACCTGCCCATCTCACCCAGGGATGCCCGCGGTGCTGTGTGACTTCAGACCTGGCTCAGTCCTGGGGTCATCTTCTTGACCCCTCAGTCTGAATCAACACAGCCTGCTCTCCAGGGCCTAGAGACGCCCTCACACCTTGTGGGCTGGCAGAGGAGGGACCTGGGTGGAAGTCAAGATTTCCAGATTCTTTCTCTGTTCCTTTTGCCTCAGATTCTGTTTCTATTTCATCTATTAATATATCCCAACTTTTATGAGATAGGGTCTTGCTATATAGTCAGGCTGACCATCCTTTGCCTCAGCCTCCCAAGTGCTGAGATGACAGGCGTGTATCACCATGCCCAGCCTTCCTCTCGTACTTGATTAGATCCCCTAACCAGTGTCTCCCTGAGCAGGAGTAATTCTCTACTCAGTTCCCACGCAGAGCTCCTTGAAACATCCACAAGGAGCTCTGTCAGTGCCCACCTGTATTGGACTCAGCTCCCTGGGTGTGAGTTGTTCTTTTCATTGTATTTTTCTTCTTTTTTATGTTTTCATACAGGGTCTGGCTGTGTACTAAGTTGGCTTTAAACTGGCTAAATTGTCCAGGCTGGCCTTGAACTCACTCACAATCCTCCAGCCTCAGCCTCCCCAGTGCTGGGTTTACAGGTAGGCGCCACCACGCCCAGCATTTTCATTGTATTCCTTTTCGGCTTATTGTCAAGTAGGCAGTGTCCTAAATTCAGTCTCCAGTACTAAGAAAGAAAATGAAAAAAAAAAGGGCCAGGGACATAGCTCAGCGGTGCCGGACCTACCTGGCAAGCACAAGGTCCTGCGTTCGACCCCTAGTACCACAAAATAAATAAATCAATGATACCTGCATTGAGAAAGGTGAAGAGTTGCCAGGCATGGGATCAGGTTCCTGGGGTGCTGGCGCAAATTGCCATAAACTCGGTAATTTAAGCCAATAGTAATGTGTTTTCTTGCTAGAGAAGTCCTGGGTCAGTGTCACTGGGCTGAGACCCAGGTCTGTGCAGGGCTGTGCAGGGCTGTGCTCCCACCTGAAACTCCAGGGAAAGTCTTGCTGCCTCTCACATCTGGGGTTCCAGGAATCCCTGTCTTGTGACTAGGACACCCCAGCATCCAGTGGTCTCATGGCCTTCTCCTCTTCTGCCTGAAAAGTCTCCCTTTATCATGGTGGGACATACCTGTAATCCCAGCAATCTGGGAGGCTGAAGCAGGAGGATTGCCTCGAGTTCCAGGCCAGCGTGGACTACATAGCGAGATCCTGTCTCAAAAGAACAACAACAACAACAACAACAACAACACACACACACACACACACACACACACACACACAAAACAAAAGGGGCCAAGGATTTAGCTCAGTGGCATTGCACCTGCCTCTCAAACAAAAAGTCCTGAGTTCAATTCCTGGTACATACACACACACACACACACACACACACACACACACACACACAAAGTCATTTTGTCATTTCTGTAAAAACAAAAACAAGGGGTGGGGATTTCGCTCAGTGGTTCTGTAGCCTGCCTTGCAAGCGCAAGGTCCCAAGTTCAATCCCCGGTACAAAAAAAAAAAAGAATAAAAATAAAAACAAAAACAAAAAAAGGGCTGCAGACGGACTGCAAAGCCCTTGGGTTTAATCCACAGTCTGGGCCAGGAGGATTCAGGTCAGTGAATTTTCTCAAATTGAGCACATCTATGAACAGGTCTTCCAGGAAAAGTAAGAGCACATCAGCCCAGCCCCAAAGCCTCCTGGGGTCTCTGGAGCCCTTCCTAAAATGTCCCATCAGGGGCAGTTCCTTTTATGTCTGTCTACTTTGACTCAGCGTTGCTTGGGAGACTCACCTATGCTGTGTATGGAGGAGTCCTTTTTCATGGTTGTGTAGGATTCTGGTGTTAGGCTTTGTGGCAATACACTTACTCGTGTTCCTGCAGATGGGAAGTAGAGGGGGAATCAAGAATTGAGGAGGGCCAGGGATGTAGCTCAGTGGCACCGCAACTGCCTGGCCAAGTGCAAGGTCCTGAGTTCAATTCCTAGACCAAAAAAAAAAAAAAAGAATTGAGTTTGGAACAGCATGTGCAGGTGTTTATTATATGATTATTGTTCTTTTAGCTGTCCTGTAAGCTTGAAGTCTTTAAAAAAAACTCAGCAAAAGATGGGCATGATGTAGCTCAGCTGTAGGGTGCATGCCACCTGATGGAGGTAGGGCATAAAAGAAATCATAATTAGCCAGGTACGATGGCACGCATCTGTAACTCCAGCCACACAGGAGACTGAGGCAGGAAGATCTCAAATTTGAGGCCAGTTGGAGCAAGTTAGCAAGACCCTGTCTCAAAATAAAAAGTACAAAGGGCTGGGGATATAGCTCAGTGCAAGGCCCTGAGTTCAGTCTCTCGCATTGAAACAAACTAAAATAAAAGTAAAAGGAAGAAAAGAAAATCACAAGGAAATACCACTTTAACCCCACCAGCACGGCTATCATCTCAGGAATAAGTGGGACACGATGTGGAGAAACCAGAACCTTGTGCTTCCCTGGGAATGTAAAGTTGTATGGTGCGTGGAAAACAGTATGGCAGCTGCTCAAGAGGCTAAAAGGAGACGTGGGCGCACACAGCGAGGTCCATCCACAGCCCGGGTCGGCACTCGGCCAGGACAGGAGTGAGGCTGGGACACTCTCCACGGTGCGGACGGACCCTCAGGACACTGTGCCCAGCGAGAGACGCCAGACACAGAGGACATGGCGTGGGGCTCGGTGCACAGGAAACGCCCAGGAGAGGCGACTGCAGAGACAGGAAGTGGATTCGGGGTGCCAGGGCTGGGAGGGGACAGGTGACCGCTCATGGGGACAGGTGAGGCTTCTTCTGGGGTGATGAAATGTTTTGGAATTAGAGGTGGCAGTCACCACAGCTTTGAGAGTGCGTTTATGACACTGAACTGTCCACTTTAAGTAGGTGACTTGTATGGTACGAAGAGTGTATTTCAATAAAGACAACATTAATGACTCGCCTCAGATTCCTGGGGCATCTCTGGACTGAACAATGTCCTGTGGGGTGCAGGTGGAGACATTTCAGGGCGGGCTGTTTCACGGAGGGGCAGGGTATGGTCCAGCATGTCACCTGATGATGGCCCTCTCCTGGCCCACTTCACGGAGGCAGAGTGAGTGCGGATGTCAAGGAGGACCAACAGACCCCAGGGCTTCTCAGGTGCTGCCTCAGGGTACGGGGTCAGACCTGGGCCTGAGGACCCCGAGGCACTCAGCTCTAGGCCCAGAAACATCACAGTGATCACCCAGCTCCCATGTGACCTGCGGTCAGGAAGAGCTGGGATCCCCTGAGCCACTGGAAAGGAATCCTAGCGCCTGGCAAGACCGGTTGCCCTCCCGAGGGTTCCCCAAAAGGGCAGGCTCTCCAGCTGTCTTCACCCTACTGCTATTTAAAGCTGCTGCCTGGGGCCAGGGACGCAGGATGGAGCTGAGGAACAGAGGGGGGACTTGGAATCCTGGGTGGGTCCTATGTGGGTTGTTGCCCCACCCTGCCTCAGTTTCTCTGCCTGATGGCGACTCCTCTTGGCTCTGTGTCCCCCACTGAGCCCCCAGAACACAGTGGGTGATAAGGGCCGGCCAGGCCCGGCTGGGGTGCTGCGAGGGCCTAGGGTGTGGCCGGGAGTGGGTGCAGTGTGGGTGTGAATGAGGCTGCCCGGGCCCTGAAGTTTGGCTGTCACCTCGACGTCTCCTTCTACCAGTGACACACCCTCCTGTGCATCCAGCCCATGTCGGGGGTGGTGTCACCTGGGAAGTGCAGTTCAGGGCCAGGTCGCCACCAACTGACACACGGGCTGGAACCTTCCACCTCTGTCTCCACCGGGCCTCGGTTGCCCAGGCTGCTCCTAAACTCACTACTTTCTTGCCTCAGCCTGTCCAATGGCTGGGTGACAGGTGTGTGCCAACAGACTCTGTCCTTGTAGCTGTCTGTGTCTCTGTTTATCTGTTTCTCAGTCTCTCCTTGTCTCTGTCTCTGCTTTCTCTTTTGTCTCTGTTTTGGTTTGGTTTGGTTTAGTTTTGAGACAAGGTCTCACTATGTAGCACAGGCTGGCCTCAAACTCCCTGCCTCAACCTCCCTAGTGCTAGGATAACGCGAGCACTGTAAGTCTGCCTCTCGTCTTTGTCTCTCTCATCTCTGTCCTTGTATCTCTCTGGTCTCTGTCCCTCCAGTCTCGGT